ACGGAACTTAAAAAGGGTTTAGCAGAGGTGAAAAACCCCTTACTAAACCTTAAAAAGGGTTCCGTATATTTGCAGTTTCCCGAACCCTTTTTAGGTTTTTTAAAATGCCTATTTTTTTTAGAGAGTAGTGCCGACCTTTTTTCAGTACTATACTGGAATTTTTTTGTACGGGAGTTGATCATGTTTCTCATAAGAATCTTACAAGAATCTTATAAGAATAACGTACTACTTTTGCTGACTCTTATCAATTTCTTATGAATTCTTGTGAGATTCTTATAAGATTCATCAGAATTCTTGTCACTTTCGTGGAAGATCTTATATAGGAATTGTGTAAGATTCTTATAAGATTTCACAAATATTTTTTGTCTAGGGTCATTTTTCTTAAATCTATCTAGAGTTATTCCTTCCCATACCGTTTTTCTCATTGGAGTTAGTTACTCGTTACAGGCTATCTCTGATGCTACGCATTCGGGGAAAAGATGATTCAGCAGTGGAAGAGTCGTGGATCATACATCTGAAATTAATTATGTCGATAGACATTATGTGATCGTTCTGGGATTTTGTTCTTTTTTTTTCTTGTTTAGTCACTTTTTTTTGAAAAATGTGCACGACGTGATCTAGCTAACTACGCTACGTAGAAAAGTTCTGAAAACGTAGGACCAAAATGTTTGTTGGGCTTAGAAACGTTTCGTACATTTATAAGAGTCGATTGTCCGGCACCATTTCTTCTCGTGACGAAATATGATTGTTTCTCTCTTTTCTTTTTTCTTTTAAATTATAATTAAAACTTTATTCCTACTATAAGTCATCGAGAAGAATAAAGTTTTTTTCGATTTTTTAATAATCTCGCTGTCTCTGTTAATATAACCAGGGTCTGTCGACATCGCAACTTGTGCGCAGCACAATTGTATTCTAGTTTATTTTTGGACTTCTGTACAAAATAAATTATGTTTGTTTCATTCCTTCACAATGAATTTGTGATTTTAAAATCCCATAATAGATAGAAGCAGAGGTTGTTTTTATGTATAAAGAGTAGCACAAAGCAATTTGCGCCACTTTGGTTCTTTTTAGACAATAAACTAAGCTTGAAGTTTCTCTGTTCAGGACCAAAAGATGCTATATAAAGCTGTATATAGCAGAAAATTCTCTGGACATATTGATTTACTGTTTAGAAAGATAGGATTTCATAACAACCAGTGAGAAGTAACGCTGACAATATGATCAGCGAAATCAGGTCTATCTGTCATAATGTTATAATCAATATATTTATTTCTGCCATGATTTGATCGATTGGTTTACCGAGTACGTCGTTGGTATCGGCAACAATTAGACATGTTTCACATTGTCGACGGACATGTCTCGAATCGAAGGACTATTACCATTGAGTTATTGACAAATTCTTATCTCGATTTTCAAATGTAGAAGAACATCAATTATATGCAACCTCGAACTGTTTAGCTGAATTTCAGTAAGATTGATAGGCATGAGACCATGGATGTTGTGGTTGTGAATATTTTTTATAGAGTATGTCACGTCGTTTTAACATTGCTCTTAGTTCACTGTTGAACCAGGGTGCATCTTTTGATGAAATCATCACAAGTTGATTTGATATAATTTTAACTGCTATTTCTGACGAGGCTGAGATCTTTGCCGAAACATCCGGCTGTTGATTTAATAAGTTCGTCGAGTCATAAGAAGATCAAGTTCTTGCCTAAAAGTATTCCAGTCGGTATTTTTCTTTGATATCTGAAAGAAGCAGAGTCAAAATTTCCGATTGAAAATTGTATCATACAATGATCACAAAATATAGATAGTTGTTGTATAACCTATAAATTTGTTACTGAAGGAAAATTTGTGGTAAAAACTAAGTCCAAGCATGTCTGAGATATTGGTCTTGTCACTTTTGAGACTAATTGATAAAGTCCTTCATTAGCTAAAAATTGAAACAATTTAGCACTTTCAGTTGTCATCGGTACAGTCGGACACCATTATTTTGTTTCTATAACTTGAGATTATTCCCGTTTTGAAAATCCCAGATTTCACCAGGAAAAAGTGGAATCGGCATATGTATGCATCTTAGTTTTCTCTAGGGAAAACTCGAATTCTAGTTTTATCTAGAGAAATCTAGAGGTTTACTGCAGAAATGTGCACGCCCATGCATCCCAGTTTTCGTTGGGGAGAGCTCGGATTCCAGTTCCCTTACTCAAATCTAGAATTTCACCAAATTCCACTTTACCCTACAACATATATTTTTCCACATGGATGTGTGATGATACAGAGAGAGAATAAGAAATGAATAAATCGAAAGCCAGTATCAATCCGTGTATAACGATTGAATCATTTAATTATAAGATATTTCGATAACTACTTGGCATAATTGTATTAAGTACAATAGGCGTGTTAGATGAGAAACCAATCTCCATAACGGCTCAACCAAAAAGAACGGTCTTCCAGCGTGAGTATTTTAATTTTAATTCAAGTTTGCATTTTAAAATTTGAAATACTGGGATCAGAAAGGCGCTGGAATATTTTCAATACACCATTTGAAAGAGCGTGAAAAACTGAACAAGATACCGCAATTGGCAAGCTTTGAAAAGGATTTCAAGTGGATCTCTAGGAGGTTTTTCGAAAACCCTGCGTATCTTCTTTTTGTTTGATCTTATTCTGATTGATATTTTGTTATCTTCCGTATAAATATGTTCTAAGCTAGTATTTGTTCAACCATTTAACCGTGTTTTCAATACAAAAAAACTTAAATTTGTCTTTTCTTTTGAAAAACGTCTTTACATTTTGTATGAAGATGATTTTCACCGATTTGTTATCCTCGACTAAAACATGAAAATTTTGAAATAAAAAAATGTAGTAGACGAAGATATTAAAAGTAGTCATACCAATAGTTGAACGACCTTGTTTGTGATAACTGATGATATTGTTGAACTAATTGATTTTGCTGTTGAAATAATTGAGATAAGTGACGGAAAATTTGATCTAGTCGTTCATTTATACTATGGAACACTTCCATTATCTCATCTAATTCTTTACCTATAACTTTCAACGTTTTAGGTAACTGATTGGCCACTAGACGATTCCGTTTATGATACCAATGACTTTGGTTTTGGATTAGATGACCTTGATGACGAATAAATAGACCTTGTTTACGAATTAATTGTCCTTGTTTATGAATTAATTGTCCTTGTTCTAAAAGTAACTGGTTTAGTTGTTGATTCAAATGCGCAATCTGTTGAAATAATGCTTGCATAATTCTTTTGCTTTTCGTGGTTAGATTAATTTGTTTTATTTGACAAATATACTCAGAGATTGTCAATTCCTAGATATGAAAAGCGTCAGAATATGAAGAGGTACTCTATTTCTTCCACATTATATCACGGAGTGCAGTAAAAGATTTATAAACAGAAATAACTTTGGTTTTTGAAAAGTTTTCCGATTTGAAAGCAAATATTTTACTACTATTAAAAAGAAAACCATACTGAACAGGTATAATAGAGTACATCTGGAAATTCTGACGTAGTATGGATCGATTTTGACCGAGTTATGAACTTTCTAATTTTACTCGAAAATGGGAATGAATGGAATATTTCACCTAATATATGTTTTCACTAGATTTTGAGATTTTTTCCAAAAACAAATGCTGCCAAGAGATGTCGGATGCTCATTAACCTATGTTCCATCCGTTTCCGAGATTATATTTTTTAGAGGACAATTTGGGCTATTTATCCATGAAAGAAAGCCAATATATTGTAATCCTACCTGTAAAGTTAGGTGAGACAACGCACTGTGCTGGTCTGCTTACTATATGTTCAAATCTCTCTCTAAAGTCAAGAGGTCTACAGCATGCAACAACGTACCTGTGTGCCAACAAATAATGTCAGTAATGACGTGATTATAGTGTATATTTGAATGAATATGAAAAAAAATGTAATGATAGATAATATGTGATGCACACACAGTATAACAAGGGTGAATGAACGAAGTGTAAAAAAATGCATGCAGTGATCTAACTGAACACGAGATCGTGAGAAGAAGAGGAAAAAAATGTCTACGTAATAACTGGACAGATCACTGTATGAGGAAAAAAAGAAAAATGAACATGTCTGGCAACGGGATGACCGGAAAGAAAATAGAAATTGTACAAACGTGGTATGATGGCCATGGAAAACCGGAAGCCTCTATCTCTCATTGTCTTAACGTTATTCAAAAGACAATGAATAGCATCCCTTTTTTTCGGATGGATAGTACCCTCAAACATTTAAAAACTACACATATCACCTCGTATAATGTATTCAATAACTTATTTTTCAGAAAATCCATCTTTTTTTGAACAGTTAAGATTTAAGAGGTGATGAACTCATCTTACTGGACAGAGTTTTCAATTCTGTCTTAGACATGCCAGAATATATAGCAAGTTTTTATGTGATAAAAAATTACTACTAATAACATCGAGTCGTTTGTACATCTTCATCGTTGCACAGAATATAGACACAGAACAGTGGATTTAGTTTTGCAGTTTACTGCAAAGCTAAGTTCAGGTGTTCGAATCTCTATTTGTACAAAACTGATTTTGTGTTTTTCGATAGTTTTAGTTTAGAATACCCCAGGTAAACAAAAAATTACTGAAGACGGCCGTCATGACTGGTTCGAAATGTCCGTATATCCCATCAAGACTAGTCTGGAACGTCCCTTTCGTTCGTCGTGACTAGCCCAGTTTTTAATAAATGCCCGTATAACCCGTCTAGACTGTTCTAGAATGTCTCTTCGACCCGTCATGACTAGTCTGTTTTGTCCCTATATCCGTCTGGATTAGTCCAAAGAAAGGTGACATGAATAATTCCATAGTTCGAACCATACACCGTCTGCTCAACGAAACCGACGTCTACACCGGACGTCAATAGAATTTACAGACAAGTCCAGGAACCGAGTCATATCCCCGTCGAGTTTTCTAGGACCATTCATGTAACCAGAAGACTTGTCAAGTGACTAAACCAGTCCAGATGACTCGTCCTGACTAGTCTTTTTGATAAATGCGACCTAGTCAGGACTAGTCCGGTATTCTAAACGCCAGCTATAATCATCAAGTATCTGTGAGAGACTAAAGTCTACAAGCACTTTCTGATTAGTCTTTTGGAAAAATAATGTACGGTTCAATTATACATAGAAATATATGTCGCATTTTGTAGAGCGCATAATTCTGTATTTACAATGTTATCAATGGTAGCTTCATGAAGAAACTTAGACACCAAATGTAGTCGGTAGCAAGAGATTGGAAAAATTGTCCTAATAATTTCAATTTTTCCACCAGAAAGATGTGAGTTTGAAACAGAAGCGAGATGATGTTTGGAATCTGCGTGAAAACCGAATTGAACGATGCATATTACAGAGATTTTGAGCAAAGAATTTTGTCGAAAACTTTCTCCTTGCCTCAAACATGCAACCACGGACTAAATTTTTAAAAAAAACATTTTGTCGCAGAACTATTTATGCGGAAGTTATGATAAGGTTGTAACGAAGACCTAAATTCTTAAAAAACTTCAGCAAAATGTTCTTCACGTATACTAAAAACTGGCATGTATAAACTGATGGCGCAATGGCTCAGTTGGTTCAATCGCACATATAAAAAAAAGTGTCGCTCGTTCTCTTCAAACCTGTTTCTCTATCTTTCTTTCATTTAGACCAGTCCAGACGTCGTCACTATATAGCTTGGCAGATTAGTCAGCGACACTACTCCGGACGGTTTTCTTTTAGTTAACGGTTAAAATTTTGGACTAGTCACGACGGGGTCGTTTTTGTCGTAAAGACTAGTCGGTACGATCGTCCGGACTAGGAAGAGAGACTAGTCATTTCGCCCGTCTTTTGCTTACCTGGGACTATAATCGAATATTTTACCGCTTGTATTCTGAGAGAATAAAGCTTATATCAATATACAGCAAGTTACTGCCTGTAAGATGATATGCACTCTACAAAGTAGCGATGCCAGTATTCTAACGGTCCTCCTTTGCTGAGTTTATTCGTAAATATACTCAAGAACATGTGCTGTACAATATGTATATGTAGTGCAATGAATAAAGAGAGGGCGAATGTACAATAGACAATAGGAGAGAGATGTGATACGGTTGGAGAGAATGGCGCAGCGAATAGCATGAGAGTTCATTCTCTAAGTTTAAAACTGAACTGAGTCAGATTGAAGTTGCAATAAAAACTAGGTAACATCAAAATTTCAACGTGAACTACTAGTTCATTTTAAAAGCCGTTTCAAAATCAACTACTATCTGTTTCCAAATATAGTGCAGTTCGATGTTTTTTATATAACTTTTGAACAACAAGCGCTAGAGTCTTCCGATCTTCAGTTTCTTAAAACTAGACATCGGAGCACATAGATCTATGAAATAATGAAGCTTCCAGAACAGCTCTACTATGGTGTACCTTTCGAAACAAAATGTCCACACCTAACGTTCCAAAAATCGACATAACAAAGTACTATTCTAAACACATATGAATATACAACAGATGTCGCTCTACAGCATGGTGCAAGTCTCAAGTCTCTGTCTTCCGTGGTTCGAGCGCTGCAGGCATTCTCCAGGGAGCCGTCTGTCGGCTAAACCTGAACCCTGGGAGCTTCAAAAGTGCATGGTACGTAGTTTTCGGGCATGCTAAATCTCGTGGCAATTATGTTTTGGTTTCCGAATTAAAGAAAAACTTTAATTGAGATGAGTTTTTCAGAAAATTCAATATTTCCGCCATGACCAACCAAACTGCATGAAAGTTGAAGAGTAAGCATAAGAAATTTCTTCTATCCGATCTGATGACCAGAACAGAGCAAGTCTTCGGTAGATTTTCCAGAAACTTTTAGAAGATCTTCATGTGAAATCTCGATATGAAAAATAATTTTAATATCTCTAAGCTGTACAGCAGGCGAAACTGAGTGAGTTTTGGAAATTTGAAGCAGGTTGGATGGAAAATGGACGTGGCAGAAGCTTTTTATTTTAGTACGGTCATAGCAGAAACACTGAATTTTCTGAAAAACGCATCTTTCGAAGTTTCTTTAATTCGGACAGCAAAACATAATTGCCACGAGATTTAGCGCGCCCGAAACCTATGTAAAGTGAAAAATCAACATTTTCTAAAAAGTCCGAAAATCACTGAGGATTTTATAAAAGTTGGAAAATCCTTGGCGATTTGCCAGATCGATTTTCTATGAAATAGTGAATAATTCCAAATTACAGTGTACTTATAATCATATTTTGACCGCTTTTGACAAACTTTAATTTCTGACTGGAAAAATCGGGGTGAGCTCTCCCGAGCCGCACAAGTAGTGGTAGTGCGGAAATCTAGACTTTTCTGATCCCTAGGCTCACTACTAACTACCGATGACAGCGAAATGATTTTTAGAACAACTTCATTTTTCAAAAAGGAGTCGATTCAAACAGTTACAGATGCAATTTACCAGCATATGAAATAATATAATATACGGAACTATTTCAAGGTTGAACTGTTCTTCTAGCCGGATGTTCTATCTCTATTTCTTGTATGTGTGCCTCTTTACCTAGCGAATATCACTATCATTACAATCAACTACTTAAGACAGGATTCGTGAGTCGATCCAGCATGCCGTCATAAAAAAAAAGCGGTCACTTGAAACTTTGCAACCTATACTTTTTCTAAGGAGCTTCGCTTCTACACATGAAACTATGGGAATGAAAAAACGCGTACTCACTAAACCTTTTGTAAAATTTTTTCTAGATATTCGTATTAGCATTTAGGATTGGGCGTTTCTTATTTCAAGAAAGGTTATTCAGCGCGTGTGCCCCTCAATGAAAAGCCCCAGAGAATGTTTTGAATAAAACATGCTTTTTAATTTTAATACCGGCTCACCAACTTTTATTCGGAGTTCTTGATCAATGTTTCATTTGAGGGACCAAACGTTCAAAATCCAGCAAAGGGTTTTGCTTCAATTTTCAGATATTTGAAATGGCATATCCTAGATCAGCACTACAAAAATTTATCGAATTAATTCTACAACGATTTGTAGCTTCAAAGTCGAAACGTCGAAGATTTCTCGAAAAAGCACTGTTTCTAGTATTTTGCAAATAATTCCATCAAAGTTTGTTCATTCTATTCGATCAATGTCTCATTCGAAAGAGCATATATAAAACTGCATTGACAGAGCTACTTTTTCAGTTTTTAGATGTGAAACTGACAAAACCATTTTGTTTTCAAACAATTCTCTGGGACTTTTCATTGAGGGCGACACGCGCTGAATGACCTTTCTTGAAATAATAAAAGCCCAATCCTAAATGCTAATACGAACATCTAGAAAAATTTTCACAAAAGGTTTAGTGAGGACGCGTTTTTTGGACCAATATATTTAGTTCTTTATTTCTTTGAGATTATCTACAAATCACACAGTGTTGGAAAAAAGTACTATTTATTCTTATTGTTGTTTGCATGAAACCAATCCCACTATAATGAATATAACATACATCATTGAGTTCATCATGGTGAGTCTATATGATCCAGATTTAGGTTTAATTAGAAAGGCAATTTCATGTACTGATGATAATTTGTACAAATCATCCTGAGCACTTATACGTACATAAGTACGGTCGTTGTCTTTTGCATATTTTGGCACGTTCCATTCGAACAGACCAGTTTGTTTATCAAAGGTAGACGATGATGGTAAATGAAGAGAATCATAGTGAATGATTGTTGTATATTCACTTTTAGCTTTGAATGTGAATCTATAGGTTTGCGATTCGGTGACATTGAAACCGAGTGGTAAGGATGTATTGAACAGCGGTGCTTGCCGTTGTTGTTCACGTAGAATAATTTGTTCGTCACCAGCAGAAAGAGAGGTTTGACCAAACGCGAAATCATTGGTAACGGAGATATCATAGTGGCAAGTGCGCTGTGCAATGTTCCAAAATGATGGAGCTAAATCGGTAGGGATTTGGCATGTTTGACGTATTTGTGAGTCCTGTGCTGGTGTCAGAGTTGGTTCAGTGAAGATGGGTTTATATTGGTCATTTTGTTGTTTGTACCATGCTGCTGTATTTGTACCCGATTCATAGTAAAGTAAGGTTCTCGCAGGATCAATTTGCCATGTTTTGCCAAATCGATTATGAATTACTTCCGTTGGTTCACTAGCACTAATAACTTCGCCCTGACTACTTCGAAGATCATTTGTTGCATTACCATCATAAGTGCCCAATAATCCGTATGTTCGATCTTTGAAAATTCCAGCAACGGATGCTGCGACATTCAACACCACACCTGGATACGGCACAGCAATTTCGACCGGTGTAATTTGAATACTAACACCAATAGGCCACGAAATGATAATGGTTTCACTTGTCAGATTTTTCTCAATTGTCATATCCGAAAAGTGCAGACTAATGATATTTGTATCTGGTGCGCTGGAATCGGTGGTCGATGTTGGTTCCAAATCTAGCGTCTCATTACCCCGTCGAATAATCAAAAATTCTCGTCGTGCCACTGTGACACTAACAGGTTGTGCATCGATGTCATTGGATAGGCCCACAAATGATTTTGTCACCGTTGCATTCAGAGTGGCATTTGGTAAGGCAACTGTTCTTATTTGCGACATGAATTTGTATTGTAAGGATGGATCAAAAATGGCAGGTGGAGAAGTAACACTACTGTCGATAATAGCCAAATATGTGTATTCACCATACCCGTTGAATGTGTACGAAGTACCATCTAGTGTGGTATAGTGCGGATCGCCCCATGTACCACCATTTTCACCCATTGTATTACTACCCCGTCGAGTCGGTCTCAGTCTGTAATAAGTATCACACGTTTCCGAGTTATCGCTCAATAAACAACACCAGATATATGAAACAATATCTGAATAGAAATGTCCAACTGGTGATGAATTTGGACGATAACGATCATCGGAGCCGGCACCTGTACCTCGTGTGATCAACTGATCGCTTGAATCGTAACAACATTCACCACCTGCGCTAAAACGATTTGTACCCTTAGATAGATAGCATGATGTTGCAGATGCTTCATTATACATTGGTCGACCTTTATGCAACCAACAATTGCTGGGATTTGTACTGCCAATGAAACATTCTTGATCTAGTTCATAACAACAACGTGCTGCCATTGCTTGGTCTCGTGTCATTGGACATGGTAACATATCAGTATTCCATGTCGTCGCTTCCGGTTGTTGACTTTCCCAACTTCTACACAGGTCATTAGCTAGTGACGCTTGTAATTTGATGGCCAAAATACCTGTGTTCAAGCCGGCATAGATTACGCTATTGTATCGAGCCACCACCCGAATGAAACCCGTATGGGTACTTTGTGTTGAGACACTTGATGGTATTCGGAACTGATAGAAATATCGTCCATTGTCTAATGATTCCACGGTGATGGCTTGCGCAATAACGATCGTCGATGTTGTTTCAAGTGTACCGTCATTGCTTTGTTTTACTCCTTGAAATTCAACATCGATTAAGGTTCCATTGGGAAAACTTTCAAGGATGTATTCAGAAAATAACCAATCAATCACTACTTCATCATCCACACTAATCTGGCCAGTGAATACCAGCTGGTTGTTTGAATATTTAATTCGAACATCGTCAGATCCAAATTTTAATGGCGCATAGGTATAACTCTGAGCTGTTCACTTATTATCTTCTTTTGTGCAGTTGTATTCGTTATATATGTCTTATGTACTCGGCTCTCGCAGTGTCGTATTAAGTTGTATAATATATGTATTTTCAGCTGGGAATGGGACTGTACGTTGCATCTTGATCCAGTGAAACCGAAACGGAAATCCAACCTGGCTGTGGTCTATAAAATATAAATATATGTAACTTACACCGTACAATATGTCACAAAAGGAGATAATGAAGTAACGTAAAACAACAACTTACGCAAACGGGGTAAGACAGACAGCACGAAATTCATTTATGATAATACCATCGACAATACCATAGGAACCAAACTGACATTTCAACGTTGTAGTCGTATTGTAACACGGACCTTGTATATTCAACGATGTTAGACCCAATTGTGAACCTATTCTCGGACGAAGTGAATAAACAGACGATGACGATCCATTACCACATCCACCTTCTGTGATAGTCTCGGTGTCTGTACGAAATACAAACAGGCCCGGCACATTCACATTGCTTTCGCTTACTAATTTAACAATATCTTGCGTTCTTGAATGCGGCAACATTTCAAATACCACCCCATCACCACCATTGAAACCTGCTTGAGCCCATGGTTCAGTCGTATATTTCGGGCCAGCCCACTGCAAATCGTTATATAACAGAAATGTGAAACTACGTTGTTCATCCGTCACTAATACGATCTGAAATGTATTTAGCTTATCTGTTTTTGCGCTGTATGCACCCACACGATACCAAGTACCAGTAATGACCATTCGTGGAATGAATGGACGTTCACGTGGAAAATATTGTCGAACAAATGTGGTTGCTTTTTCAAAAGTAATCAATCTTCCCGGTGATTGTAATGTTGAATCATAAATTTGATAATAAACCTTGTTTCCAACACCGGATACCGTACCTTGTGTATCAATATCTGACCAAAAACCCGTTATTAATCGTCGACTATCGTTTAAAGGGAAAGGATCCGGTATGTATTGATTAATTTGTTCTAAGAATGCAAATAAACCGTTATTGCCAACATAAATATGCCGATGGTTATTATTGAAATATGGGAAAATGGAAGGTAAATTAAACGGTCCATCACTGTGATCATCATTGGGATGCATTGTAATGTCACCAGCTGATGGTCCATAGGGAAAAAAATCGGACAACTGGATGGCAATTGTATTTGACGTTGAGCAAAAGACGATTAGTACAAGCAAATATTTTATTGCCACCATTGTTGGTGTAATAGACATTCCTCTAAACATAACGTATAAAAAATACCAACAATTAAACATTCGCATACATAAAATAAGATGGAAATCCTTTATTTATAAGTCATTTATTATCTCTCTTTGCGTTTAGAATATACATGGTAACAAAGAGACCTTTTTTTGAGTGTGGTACTTTACTCTTATCAGGACCTCATATATTATCATTATTTCTCCCAAGTGTATGTGGGAGGAGAAAGAGAATGACATCAAGAATAATACCATGAAATGTGAGTAAGGTGCCTTTGGGTAAAGAACCGCATACGAATATCATAAATGTTGATGAATAATAATAACAATAACTACAAAATACTATCAGTATTGCTATAACAACCCCTTTTACAGTTGCTAAATAACAACAATAATGATAATCATAATATGAAGAGAGGAAGCCTTACCTTTTCAAAGAAAGCGACAGATAATTAACTACAACGAGACATCCGCGAGACAAAGAGAACAAACGCACACAGAAAACAGCAAGCACAACTGGTGACATTGCATTTCTTACACTGGTTGTTCAGAGGTACCTAGAAAATTTCTTGAATGTTTTTTTTACTTCTTATGAAAACATGCTTTCCTATCTCTTCATTCGAATAGCGACAATTAGCTCTGCATTTTGTATACGTTCATACAATACATAATTGATTACCTCGATGCCATGTTAATCATTAGTTACATCCCTAATATGCATTGTTTTAGACTCTTTTCCTATTCCTTCGATACGATTCCGAAATCTATTTGGATCATTTTTTTTTCTAGGTACCTCTGAACAACCAGTGTA